GGGCCTTCGCGGGTGCCTGGCCCGGCCGGCCCAAGTCAGCTGCCGGAGAAAGGCGAAGAGCCCGGGATCTTAGGTTACCTCATTATTTATAGTCCGGGCACTCGCAAGTTTGATAGCGGAGAGCCAGAGTAGTAACGTCAGGCGTGGTGTTATGCCCATCCCGGGCTTTTTAATAGTTTTCAACTGCTGACGTCTTCTGTTACAGAATTGGAAAAGTTAATTCTCTGTGTTTGTTTTTGCTATACATTTTGATATGAAGCCAAAATTCGGGGGTTTTGGAGGTGGAAAGACCTGTGGTGATCAAGGTGTTTTCTTGCTATCTCTACAGAAATGTGGTTTTTCGGAACTGTATTCATGGCAAAGGCAAAGGAAAACAAAGCAGGAATTTTGTCTTCATGATGGACCACCTTATGCCAATGGAGACCCTCATGTTGGCCATGCGTTAAATAAAGTAAATATTTGCTCGTTCATACTGTACTAAAGTGGTAAATATTTCCCATAATGTGATGTGTGTTCTCCGTTCCCATTTAAATCAATAACACTTTAAAGTGTCTTCGGTATTTTGGTAGGCAGGGCTTTTAAAAAGGAAATTACACAGTTACATAGATACTGTATGATGCCGCAGTGACGTAGATACCATACCATGACATAAATGCCATATGCCAGTCATATGGTACCTATACGCTGAGTGCTCATTTATGAGGGTGAACATTTCATTAAAAAGAGAACTTTTTTTTTTTCTAGAAAAGGCCTAGTCTCCATTACATCCATAAGTAATATTAAATGCAAAGTTTGTTTGTGTATTGAACGTATCACACATACGCACCTGGGTCAGTGTATATTTCTATATGTGTATATGTAGTAACGTTTCTGTAATGCATAGTTGAGCTGTCCCTTGCTGTTCTTTTTTCTTTTAGGTATTTTATAAATTTGTTATATTGCACTGATTTTATTTTGTTTGGGTATCTTCAGTGGAACTACAATTGCTAAATGTTGATGGTTTTTAAAATGTAAATTTTGGCTTCGAAATAATACACATTTGGATAGGTTTAAATTCATTCAGTCCTGAGAAATGACAGCATTACATACGCTACAAAGTGGGAAAGACTCAGATGTGACCCACAGCTTCTTAAGGTACTATTGCTAAAGCTAAAGTCCTGAAGATGACAAGTTTTGGTAGGTGATGACTTATATCAAAAAGCAATAATGTGCGCTAGGC